CTGGCTCAGTATACTGGAGGAATTGTAAGAAAAGCCATGGCAAGTACCAGTTAGGCTACTCAGGTGGCCCAAGTGAAAGATCACAGTAATATGAACGAGGGAGAAAACAGTGAAGACAAAGTTTACTATATGATCTGATAAATTTTCAAGATCTAAAAATGACATGTCCTAACGGTAGACTAGATATTGGTCAGGAAAATAGAATGTTAAAGACTTGCAAATGCCATTTACCAAGGAAGAAAACTCAGGAAGAATGGGCTTTTTAAAAGAGAACTTTTATCTTAATTTTAAGCTAAGTATTATGATATACCTTTTTGTTTCCAACTAACCATAAAATACTCCATTCTTCTCATTAAGAACTGGACTTTATATATGCATTTTTTATTTGAAATAGAATTGACAATGTCATCTTAGCTTTAGGTGTACAACTGTAATTCAACAGTTCTATACATTATGCTATGCTTAACCACAGTAAGTGTAGTCACCATCTGTCACCATACAACATTATTACATATTATTGGCTATATTCCCTATGCTGTATTTTTCATCCCCATGACTTACTTATTTTATAACCCCAAGTTTATACCTCTTAGTCTCCTTCACTATTTTTCCCATCCTCCCAACCCTCTCCCCTCTGGCAACCACCAATCCATTCTTTGTATTTATGTCTCTGTTTTTGCTTGTTTCTTTTGCTTTTTTAGATTCTGCTTATAAATGAAATGATATGGTATTTGTCTTTCTCTGATTTCTTTCACTTAGCATAGTACTCTCTAGGTCCATCCATGTTGTCACAAATGGCAAGATCTCATTTTTCTTTATGGCTAAGTAATATTCCATCACACACACACACACACACACACACATCTTCTTTATCTATTTATCTATGGACATTTATGCTGCTTCTATACCTGGCTTTTGTAAAAAATGCTACAATAAATATAGGGGTGCATATATCTTTTTGAAATAATATTCCTGTTATCTTTGGGTAAATCAAGAAGAAAAAATCTGGAAAATTTTTGGAAGAAAAATCAGGGAAGGGGATGTTTTTTGTATATATTTAAAGAAAATTTTTTTAACGTTTTATTTATTTTTGAGACACAGAGAGACAGAGCATGAGCAGGGGAGGGGCAGAGAGAGAAGCAGACAGAATCCGAAGCAGGCTCCAGGCTGTCAGCACAGAGCCTGAGGCAGGGCTTGAACTCACAGTTTGTGAGATCATGACCCGAGCCAAAGTCGGACGCTTAACCGGCTGAGCCACCCAGGCGCCCCATGTTTTTTCTATATTTTTGTTTGATTTTATGAAAGGGGTATGAGAAAAAACATTTGGTTTTGGACATAAAGTTTACAGTATTTCAGAACATCTAAGTGGGATGAAGATATCAAGACAGTTAAGTAAGTCTGAAGCTCAGATGATAGTTGTGGGCAGGTGATAAAATTTTTGAATCTTTATAGCTAATAACTGAAGATAGAAGCTCATGAAATAGTGTAGAAAGAATATAAAGTGAAATGAGAAGATGACCTGTAATTGAACTTCAAGTAGAATGAGTCATAAAAAAAAAGTTCATGGTTTTGGCAATATGGAGGTCACTGCTGAACTTCACCTCAACTGTTTCAGTTTAGTAATGGGACTGGAAGCCAGACTGGATTAAGAAGTGATTGGGAGCTGACAGCCCTTTTGAGAAATCTGGCTGTGAAGGGAGTAAGGGATTGGTAATGATAGGACAACTGTTAGAAGAAAGTGTGGGAGATGACTGAGGGATTGATTACCTCACCCAGACCACAAGAGAGAGATTTGAGCATATTCAAAACCAGATGGGAGGTATCTACCTAAAAGGAAAAAGGCTGAATATCCACAAGAAAAGAAAGGGATAATTAGCAGCTTAAGGCTTTTGAAGTGGAAAGGAGTTAAGATGCCAGCACAGGTACAAATACTAACCTTAGATAGGAAAAATAACTCTTCCAGTGCAAAACAAGAAAGGAGGAAAAAAAAAAAAGATACATGCAGATGCAGATTTGTGTTTCATATTAAGAAAATAAGGAAGTTACATGTCTTTCTATTTACAAGTGGGTCTACATCACTCATCACACAATTTACAAAAACCAATGGTATTCTTATTTCTTTTTATTATTGAAAAAGACTATATTCAGTTTTTAAAAGTATTATGATACAGGATCATTACTGAGTATAACAAAAGCCAACTTAAAATTTTTAAAAACCTGGGATTGAAAAACATGAGAGATAATGATTTAAAACATCTGTTTAGAATTTGTAAACATATACATTTATGAAATATATAAACAAATGCATGTGTATGTGTACAATGGCATTCAAATGAAGTTGAAAATAAACACTTTTACTGTGAGAACTTAAGAGACTGTTACTATGGAATAAAATGTCCTTCCCTCAACATTGTTAAGAAAACACCTTATAAATACTGAATAGTTTGTCATTTTCAGTGTACAATAAAATGTTCACCAAACATTTGTTGGTATTTTTTTTCTGAAATACATTTTTAAAACTAAAAATATACAAATACTTTTAATACACTGAAGATCATTGGCATGTTAACTTCTATTGCCAGGTTCATTCATTCTTACATCATTTCAAGAATAAAATTTCTTCTGTCATCTTTAAGTGAACTGTGCTCTTAAAGAATCTGTGAGTTGATTTTTATATCATTTATAACTACTTATTTCAGTCAAGATTTTCTTAATATTAGAGAATTAAAATATGCTTTGTACACTGAATTGTGTAAGGTTTTTCTTCTCTTTTGGACTGTGTTCTAAATAGGCAGGGGCTATGGTAATTTTATCACTGTAACTCTAGTACCTAGCATCATGTCTGATAGAGAGCAGATAAGTCATTAAATATTTGCCAATTTTAAGACTACATACGTCTTACATCACACCCAATTCTGTATTTATGACCCTAACAAACCAGCCTTAATATTCTTTTTCCTAAGTAAGCATATAAAACGTTTATCTGTTTCATATGTTAGAGTTACATTTAAGATTTTTATTTTAAAATCATGTTCTACTAATAAAAGTTTTCATAAAGATAGGAAGAGAGAGCAAATGATTTTTTCAGATTCTTTCTGATCCCTGATTTTCCATATTGTAAGTAAATGGCTCAAGATCTTTGGTCCCAAATATACATTATCTATAATAAGGCAGTCAGTCACGACATAAACTACAAAAATAGTTTAAAGAGTTCATCTAAACCAGTAGTTTCCAATGTTGTTAGAAGACTTTGACAGTTCTTCAGCAGCTGCTTGTAAGGTAGATATGATAAGGTTAAACTAGTAATGGTTCCCACATCCCTCTTCTTGATTCAATCGGCAAAACATATTTGATAACATTGGAATTGGACATAAGATTTCATTTAAAAAAAGGGTTTAGGGGGAAAAGTCTTAACAAATAGTGAAAAAAGGTTTATCATTACCTAAAACAATATTAATCTGGTCACAGCTGACATTTTTAATTATGTTTTTGTTTTGTCTAAAATACTTTAGGGATTAATATCTTTGGGAGATGTCATATTAGCAAAAATAAGAAAAAAAAATTCCATTTTGTCAACCAACTTGAAACACAGTTCTTTCTTCCAACACAGGACTATCTAATGCTCTAAGAATGTTCCTTTTTGTACAGTGATTAAGAGAATTTACATACCATGGCAAAGAAGCTATTTTTATTAGAAAATTGCTTTTAAATTATGCTTAGATTTTCATGTTCCATGTAAGCATTTAAAATACGAAACCTCTTTTAAAATACATTGGACCTTTCAACAATAGCCAAATTATGGAAAGAACCTAAATGTCCATCAACTGATGAATGGATAAAGAAGTTGTGGTTTATATATACAATGGAATACTACTTGGCAATGAGAAAGAATGAAATGTGGCCTTTGGTAGCAACATGGATGGAACTGGAGAGTGTGATGCTAAGTGAAATAAGTCATACAGAGAAAGACAGATACCATATGTTTTCACTCTTATGTGGATCCTGAGAAACTTAA